ACCCCCCCCCCCCCCCCCCCCCCAAAAAAAAACGACACCAAGGGAACACATGTCACTTTGTCATTGTGGTGATATACTAATTACTCTGTAATAATTTATTTTATCAAAATACAATAAAACGAAGTGACAAAGTTACATCCATGCAATTGAATTACGTTTATTCTGCAATAAATTTAATACATGTATGTGTCACACTTGATTCGAGAGAACATGGATCGGATAAGCATTACAAAGCAGCAAATAATACGGGTTCATACCTCAGTCTCTTGCCTTAATATGTTGTGCAGTGCAGCTATATAGATATTTCCACAGCAGTTAGGTGTAGTCTTGGTGAGTTAACTAACCACAGCCTTCATAAATAGCAATGTTTTGTGTTTTTAGATACATTCATTTGTCACGATCGAATGATATGTTGCCATAAAGTTGTCAAAATTACACTTTTCATGGTTTTTTTTGTAAATGTTCCTACAGGACCGAGATGTACTCCTAATAATTTAACTTACCTCAACCTACATAAAAAACCCGTGTTTTAAAATATCTTCATATGTTGCGAAAGATATGTTTTTATGAAGTTGGAAAATTGCGTTTGTTGTGCTGTGTTGTAGATATTTCTACAGCACCGAGGTGTACCCCTAATAATTTAACTAACCACAACTTACATCAAGTACATGTACCAGTGTTTCGAAACCCAATTATGTGTCGCGAATATGTTGTTATGCAGTTGTAAAATTGCTTTTGACGTGCAGTTTTGTAGATACTTCCAGTGCAAAGAGGTGCACTCGTAATAACAAAATAACCACAGACTCCATAAAATATCAGTATTTTTGAAAATATAATTATTTGTCGCGAACTATATGTTTTTATGCAGTTGAAAAATTGCAGATTTGTAGATATACAATCGTAAACTCTTCCGTAAGTAAACTCCATCCAGAACAAACACAACCTAATCAGTTTGTATAGGCGGTCCCGACATACTGTAATGTTCCTCTATATTATACCACTCATCCGCTACTCATTCTACCACGCAGAAACCCTCGCTAGACCGATATTACATTTTGTATACATTCGAGAGTGTCGCGGAACAAAGACTCGTCTTTATAATTATCATAGGAAGACGGCGAAACAGACGCGCCTTTCTCTCACAAACCCACTTTTTGTTGTATATATTCTATAGTGATAACTGTTCAACAATATGTACGCTGTTTAGTATAACATAGCCAGATCATACATTTCCCATAGTTTGCTTGATATAATTTTGACCTATATACCGAAAAAATAAATTGTGTTGATTTGCATTTCGCTCATATAGACACACAGAATCTCCATCGTAATACTACGAATGATCTATTTGAGTAACTCAGAAAACGAGTCCAAACCTTAAATAGTTAGACGAATGTAAAATATAGAAAATATCACACACGTTTTACAATACTAGTATTCACTTGAATTACACGTCCATATACATGTAGGTCAACGACATGCATGTCTGTAGAACATATAGTAAACGCAGCGAGAGATAGTTTACTGTTCTTGATCGATACAAAATGAAAGGGGACTTATTAGACGTTTAAGATATGAGGTCCGCAGTTCATTAATTGACACTTAACAATTTAAGGGGGTTGGTTGGCGCAGTGGATAGCACACTCCCCTTTCACGAAGACGGCCGGGGTTTCATTCCCTAATCGGATGTGACTATGCATGGGTTTATCTGCCTGATCACTTTTCTATAGTTACTCCGGTTTCCTACAACATTATAAGTTATACATCATGTTTCATAATTGTTGCAAAAAGATATACTTTGTATATGTTTTAAGGATTTACCTCTCCCCTAGACACCTTCACTCATAGGACGTTATACCAACCCGATCGATACCAATGAACGGAAGACAACTCGTAAATCCAATTTTGAAAGTTTCCGTTTAATATTTGGGTTATTTCCCTTTGATCGTTGTGCCACGACTTGACACAAAAATAGCTTCTATAGGAGTGTATTGCTAAACGGAAATAGGAAGTACATCCCTTGTTGAAAATCCAATGTAGGGAGACAGTATCACAATTTCCGCAAAATCTAATGTTTAATATTAAAGTGATGAATATCGTATGCTTATTATTGACAGAACAGTGTGTTCTTTCAATATTAAAGTATTGCAAAGCAATCCAGGCATTTTTCTGTACTTCAGAAACCGGCTACATATTTCACTACTGTGAAGAACGATAACTCTTGCATACAATTACTATGTGTATATGCTTTTATCATAAAATGTCAAT